CTTCTTCCCATTTCATGTTCCCAAGTAGTGCAAGCAGTTGGTTCAGAGAGTAGCTGGTGAGGGTTCCTCAGGCTGTACAAGGGATCCCTAGCCTCCTGAACCTCAGGTTCCCCCCAGAGGAGGAAAGAGGGAGAGGAAAAGGAAGAACAGAGGGGAAAGGAGGAAGGAGCTTCTGGGAACAGGGTGCCTTACTGGCCACCCCTTTGTGTCTGCTCAGATCCATTTCCCATTCTCCTCTCAACAGCAGCCTGATAGCCACCCTTTCCCCTTCACTTAGCCTGTGTGGGGCTGACCCTAACCCATGGCTCCCAGGATGGGCATGTGACCCAAGTCAGGCTAATTGGAATAAACTCTCAGGATTTAGTAGAACGATTAGGAAACTGGTTTTTTCCACTGAGGTGGCACTACCTGATAGAATACACTTGGGATACTAGAGGCCATCTTGGCATCTGATGGAAAGAGCCCATCTGAGAATGAAACCAACCACAGGCTGGTAGAGCCAAGAGATGGTGAGACATTGTGTTTAGCACCTGGATCCAGCCAAATGTGACATCAAATACTCAAGGTTTTTTTTTTTTTTTTTTTTCTCTCCACTTAGATGGCCATTTCAAGTTGGATTTCTGTCACTTCCAACTCACATGGTCTATCCCAGGAGGGAGTAGTGAGCTCACACTGAGCTCTCATTTTTATAACTCGCTTGGGCCTTCAAGGATGCATAGACGTTCATGAGGAAGACAGGGCAGCATCCTGGCCGCAGGGAGCTGGGAAGGGTCATTGTTGGGACAGGAGGAGAACAGGGCTATTAGCTCTAAAAACAGATTCTTATGTTGGATCATGGCTAGTCCCGGAAACTGAAGAGTTCAGTGTGGCTGAAAGGAAGGCTAGAGATGCTGTCAGGGGCCAGGTGATATCAGGCTTTGGATGAAGGCTAAGGAGTTGGGACTTTGTCCTGAGGACAGGGAGGGAGTCATTGAAGAGTTTTCAGCTGGGTTTTGACTGACTTACTCTGCAGTGTGAAGAACACACTGAAGCAGAGAGAAAATAGTGGCTGGAGTTTTTCTGTTGTTAGAAGTGCCATCAAGTCAGTATAGGATTTCTAAGGAGCAGCTGATGGGTTTGAACCGCAGATCTTGTGGTTAGTAGTCCAGTGCTTATCCTACAGCTGATTCTATAAATAGGTTCTTTCTCATCTATTGAAGCAGTATAGCACAATGGCTGATACTATGAACTCCTCGAGTCACCCTGCCTGAGTCTAAAGGCCGGAAGGGGAGCAGCTGCAGGCCGCCTGGCCCTCTGCCCTCTCCCTGCGTCAGTCCCACCTGCCTTCCCTGGGGGCTGTGCTGCCCCCTCCAGTTCTCACAGAGGCATGGCCAGCCTGGTCCCCAGAGAGCTGGGAAGGGTCACTGCAGGGACAGGAGGAGAGCAGGGCTTTCAACTCTGGAAACAGATTCTTATCCAAATCCGTCTTGGGAATGAGACTGAAATTGGTGAGAACAAGCTTCTTAGCCCTGCACAGGCCCAAAGGGGATATCTCAGAAGTAGAGACCAGGAACCCAGCCCTTTCACTTCCGCCTCCTTGATACAGAGGTGAGAGGCTCAGAGTCGGCTCAGCAAACCGCCTGAGCCAGCTGTGGGAAGCGACTTCAGTGAGATAGGTGAAATGCTTTTTAAAAGTTCCAGTCAAAGGGTATCCTTGTGTTCCTAGCCTTTTTAGGTTTGTGTTTCCACCGTGTGGTGCCTCAGCTCTGTTGACAACTTAGGGGACCCTGGACAAGTCATGTCTTCTTGACTTGTTGTTAAGTGCTGTCGAGTCAGTTCTAACTCATAGCAACCCTGGATAGGATTTCTGAGGAGTGGCTGGTGGGTTTGAACCACCGACCTTGTGGTTCAAACTGGCCTTTCATTCCAGTGCTTTATCACACAGCACCACACCAGACCTCTTCTTAACTGGAAGGGCTTTAACTTCCTCCTACTAGTCCACTGGGAGTCCTGGTGTGGTACTGCAGGCTAATGTGTTTGACTACAAGATCAGTTTGAGCTGCAAGATTGGTGGCTCAAAACAACCAGCCGCTCCTCAGAAACCCTATACAGGGTTGCAACCAACTCAATGATACTTAACAACAACTAGTCCACTAGAACTGCACACACCCTTTTATCCTCTTGGAGGCTCTGTGGGGTGTCATTTAACAAAGACAGCAGGTCTTCCCTCAGGACTGCATTCCCTCAGTCACATCCTGTTTCCTGCAGCCTCAGCATTCTGGCCAATCCCTGATCATGTCCTTCATGATAGATCACAGTGATGCCTTAGGCTCTTTCTCACTCTTGAATCAGGGTGAGAATCATGATTTTAATGTGAGATCCTTGAATTTGCCATCCAAATTCATACTTACTCCTATAAAATGAGGGGAAAAAATCTGCTTATTTTATTAATGAGCTCAGAGTAAGATCTGCAGCAGCAAGTCTAGCAGCAATTAGAGCAGAAATAAAGGGATGGAGAGGGAGATCTAAGAGAACCGATGAGGGGTCAAGGGAGGAGTCCTCCAGAGAACGAAGTCATAGGGCCAGAGAAGAAGGAATGGAGTGTGGATTCCAGGGAACTTCTTCAGAACAGTTAGCTGTCCCCGCCTCTCCACGCTGACCTTTAGAAGAGAGGCTCAAAGTATCCCTTGTCCAGTGTTAGTTCAGGGCCAAAGGGAGTTTGGAATGCCTGGGTGCTGACTAACGGTTCCCCAAGATGTGTTCTGGTGTCTGTAGGCTGGGTGTCTTTCATGGTTGGTCCTAGGTCTTGTATTCAGGAGGTGGGTCCGGAGTTCATTGTCTTCTAGGGTGAATTTGAATGTCTCAACTTTAGAAAAAGGTCCTGTGAGGGGAGAGGAAGTAGATAAGTGGGTGCAGGCCTTGTGGGTACATACTCATCCCCAAGGAGGGCCCTGACATTGAGGAACACCCTTGGGTACTGTAAGGCCTTGCCAGCCTCTAGCGGCTACACATTCACCACAGCACACAGGAGTCAAGAAGAAAGCAGACTGGTGGCAGGTGGTGGAGAAGGAGAGAACTCAGGGAAAAGAACTGGGATCCCTCGAAAGGAGCAGATGACAAGTGATAGAAAACCTAGGGCCACTTTGGTCACCCAAGAAACCATAGCATAACAGGCCAACTGTCTTGGGAACATGGGACTCTAATGTTTTGAAAAACTGGTAGCAGAAAAGTCAACCAGTCTTTGCTTGTATATGCCAGCAGTGGCCTTCAGGCCATGCCAAATGCTGGTTTCACAGCCAGCTGCCAGTTCTGTCCAGTGGCACACAGTGTGTCCCACAGATAGAGCCTGGACCCATGGGAGGGAGAAGGTATAAAGGACAGTTTGGTTTGAATAGAACTCAGGTCACAACAGATCACAACAGGACACAAGTAACTCCAACTCACCAACCTTGGTTCTTTGGACAAGCCTTAAAAAGTTCTGAATTGCCCTAGCTCTGCCTAAGCCTGTGGGCAGTAGGGTGGTGTCCACTGGGAAGAGAGCCACATTTTCTAAGCACACCTCCTGAGGGGATATTCAGGCTGTGCTTCCTCTGGGCTTTCCTAGTCCATCAGCCCTGAGTTCCAAGTGGATGTTACAGACTGGTCTCTGCTCCGCTGCCCTGAGTCCCACAGTTTTCAAAGTGTGGCCAACAGCAGGTCCCAGGTGGCATTTTAGGGATAGTGCCTAGCACACCCCTCCAGGTGCCAGTCCAAAGAACCTGCTGACAGAGTCAGCAGCTGAAGGCCACTGCACACTGCATGGATAGACAGGGCTTTGCACCCCACCTGCCTAGTCACCGGGTGGGACTGCCGAGTTCCAGCTGCAGGGGAAGGCCATGTCTGTGCATCAGGGGAGCATGGTCTTTAAGGAGCCTTCCCATCGCTCGGGGCTCTGGGCTGCAGAGGAGGAAATAGAAGTGCTGTGTATGCAGAGCAGAGCAGGAAATAAAACACAGGGCTTGGTTGTTCTGAGCAGAGCTCCACGGGACCTCTCCCATCACCTGGCTGTGACCTTGGGTCCTACACAGGCCCTGGGTTTCAGAATTAGGAGCTAAATGATCTTTATTTCTTCAAAATATGCAGGAAACTCGGCCTCTGCCTGGCAGTGGGAGCAAGCAGGCACAGGCAAGCAGGGGTCTGACAAGTATGGGTGGGTGTGGGAGGAGGTGATGTAATGAGGTAAAGATGGAGGCAAGACACCAAGAGGCAGAACGAAAGAGATGCATAATGACAAACACAGAGAAGCAAGGACTCCGAGCCAGGGGGAGAGAAGCAGGGTTCAAGAAAGAGAAAGGGAATGAGGGAAAGGGAAGAAAGATGAAGGGGAAAAGCAGGGAGAGATTGACAGGAGGGATGGAGATTGAGAGACAGAGAGATGAAAAGGAGGTAAAAAAGGGGGAAGAGGAGAAAGAATGTGTGTGAGAGAGACTCATACAGAGACAGAGAGAATGAAACAGATATAGAAAGAGACACACATGCAATGATTACAGAGAAAGACAGATTGAGGCTGAGCCAAAACTTCCTGGAGAGTCTCCCCAGGGAAGGTATCAAAAACTTGTGGTCCTGGCCACCTAGAAATACAGCATGAGAAAATGCAGTTAGGCATCGGGAAGATCTTACAGAAAGAGAAGGATGGACACAGAAATCCTTAATCTGACAGTGGTATCGTGGGAAAAGTTTTGAGTAGACAATCAGAAATCCTGAGTCTTTTCCCCAAACTTCCTTTACTTGGTCTGAGACCTTGAACCTCCCTGGGACTCAGTTTACCATCTATAAAGAACTTAGACAAGACGGCCCTGGAGGCAGCTCTGTGGCTGAGTTTTAGCATTTCTCTAAGCCGGGGGTTGTAGGAGCTAGTACTCCTAGAAAGTGTGTGCTTGGATCATTCCTTCAGGTTGGATGAAAGTAGAGGTGGGCTCAGAGAAGGCCAAGTTTCCAGAGGAGGAGGGAGAGGAGGCAGTGGGCTAGGTGTCAGCACACACTTACAGCTCATCATCATACTCCTTGGGGGGACAGACGGCAACAACGAGGTCAATCCAGTCCTGTGGGGAGAAGCCTCGTGACTCAGGGTTGGACGGCATGTCTGTCCTGCTACTCTAAGGGTCTTCCTTTTGAGGACGGGTCCCCTGGTCTGGGGAAGCTTCTAGTCTTTGAGGTAACAGAATCATAAAGGCCACAGTCTCAAGACCCTCTAATGATACTAAGTTCCCAAATGCTGATCTGTAAACCAGGGCCAGGTACCAACCTTAGAGTCTTTGGGGGTAATTTCCTAAAATTGTAGACTCATGAATTCGGCCCTTGGTAGTATGGGATGGGTCCTGGGAAACATATTTTTAACAAGCTTCCTAGGTAACTTGAATGCACAGCCCATTGGAGAACTTCTGACCTAGATTTCTGACCCTAACATTTGAATTCCCTCTATGACACCACTGCCATCCTTGGCGTGCTCATCATTGTCTATCCTTGGCTTGGATGAATCCAGTGGACACTCCACTAGGTGATAGCCTGAAATATACTAGGTTGAAATATCTTCCCAGGACCTCTCCCCATCCATTCCGGCTCTGCCCTCAAGAATCACAGGGAACACGTCTGCACCCTTGACCCTAATGCAGCCCTTCTGATCATCAAAGACAGTCATCATGTTACCCGTGAGTCTTCTCTTCTCCATATCCCATCATGTGGATCCCAGTCCCATCCGATCAGCTTCCTTGGCATTGAACTTAATACCTCAGGCTTGGCTGTCTGCATACAGTTGTACAGGTTGTGCACTGCACAACCTGAAAAGGCCTTATGTGGTGGCCCTGACCCAATTAGGTGTCTGATGAGAGAATACCACCACCAGCCCTTCTTCCTCCATCCTAGACCCTCTACTTTTGTGAATGTTTTCTAGTGGTCCCAAGCACTCTGCTGATTCCTGTTCAGTGTGCACTTAGAGAAAGCCTTTATGTCTTTGTCTTGGGTAGGCTGCAATACCCAATGTTCTGAGTGTATATTTGCATAACTATTTATTTTGAACCCAAGGCTAAGAATTGACATGTATCTTTTAGAATCCCATTTCATCAGATTTAGACTATTGGATGGATGGGGTATGTGTTGGACCCTATATACTGTCCTCATGTGGGACATGCTGATGGTAAGGTCTAGATACAGAGGCAGGCAAGGGAAGGAGGGGGCCACTCTTACTCCCTGACTCCAGGCTTTCTGCAGAGCAGCTTCTGCCTCTGCCAGGGTATAGTCAGTCACCATCTTGCCATTGATTGCCATGATCTCGTCCCCTCTCACAATGCCACCTGTAAGAAGAGATGAAGTGGATCAAACTGTATGTGGCATGTGCCAAGTCCAGGGCTTGGCAGAGGGGCACTGGGGGGCTGCAGAAGAACCCTGGGTCCTGGGTTCTGAACGTTCATATGGGCTCAGAAAGCAGGAGGCAAAGCCACCCACCAGATTACTCAAGGACATTGTTCCCTGCTTACCACCACCCTCACTCCTGCTTTAGTGACTAAGGACACCAGTGATGAACCAGTACCACATCAGCTCTTGAGTGAGCCCCTGCTATTGACTCTGGCCATAGCTACAAGGAGAAAACCCTGCACTTCCAGCAAGGTCATCAGAAACCCGAGTTGGTTCTGCTAGCTGATACTCTCCAGGTGGCGACCAGATGGGTCGATGTCAGCTCCCTGAGCTTGCCAAGCTCTTGCCTGTCTCAGAGCCTTTGTATGCTGTTCCATCGGGATCTCTCTCTCTCTTTCAGGTCTCAGATGAAATGTCTCCTCCTCCGAGAGGCCTTCTCTGACCCCTACTCAAGCTAAAGCAGACCTTTCCTATTCTGTCACAGCATCCTGGTCTTTCTCTGCATAGCACTTTTTCACAATTTAAAATGATCTGGTTAGTTGTTTACCAATGGGTTCTCCCACCAGAATGTACGAGGACAGGGATAGTCTTGGGTCCACCTCTATCCTAGCAACGCATGAGACTAGATAAATGAATGGACAGGCCAAGGTGGGAGGGCATTCTTGAGTAGTTGTGAAGTCCATCCAAGTAGACATCTATTTACTCTGTTGTAGGGCTCTGTATAATCATCACATCATCCCCAAACCAGGGCCCGGCTGGTCCCCACTCACCATGGTGTTCAGCAGCTCCCCCCTCGTAAACAGCGGAGACAACCACCTTCCCGATAGGTGAATCCACACCACCTTCCAGGGCCAGGTCTAAGGACCCCTCCTGGTGAGAGGAAAATCAGCCTTGTGGAGTAACAGCAGACAACAGCCTGTGGGCCACTGAGCATCAAGGGCCACAGAGTGGGCAGGGGAAACATGGGGCCCACAGCAATGCCTTCAGGGAGGAAATGGGACGTGGGTGCCAGGTGGATTCTAGGTGTTTGATCCCACCACAGGAGGTGGCATCCCCAGGGAGAGAGAGAGAAGAGGTAACTGTGAGAGTGGGAAAAGCAAGGGACCAAGGTGGGATGGGGGAAGGGCAGAGGATGGGACCTCTCCAACCTTCTTAATGCGTAGGAGTCGAACATCTTTTCCTAGGATCTGCTCTGGGGTGAACTGGGAAGAAAAAGACAATGGGGGAGATCTGAGTTTGCCTGAAAATGGAGTGGAGGTAGGATTAAAGTATAAGCCAATCACCTAGGGGACATTGAACCCACAGAACATATGGACCACAGGCACCTTTGCCAGCCCATCAGTCTTCAACTGGGGGTCTCAGATCTCATGGGGGGGCACATACAGAGAGAGATATGTATGTGCCCAAAAACACAAATCCCAAATCTTCCCTTAACTAGCTGTGTAATTTTGAGCAATGAATATATTAACCTGTCAGCACTTCAGTATATCACGTTCTGTGAAATGGGATTACAGTGAGGACTGGAGGATGAGATTGTGCTTCCCAGTTCCTGGTATATATTTAGTGTTCAGTAAGCATAGCAGTTGCTGTAAGCCATGCACATACACAAACACATATATGAAAGGAGCAGTAGTAGGAAAGACTCTTTCGGGGCATCCCTGGGGAGGAACACCTGAGATGAAGGATGAAGGAACACTCTATCCCCCTGGCCTGAGGTAAACCCCCAGTAGTGGGAGCTATCTCTTACCATTGAGTAGGGATCAAAGCCTTCTTCATATTTCCGGAAATCCTGGAAGCAAAAGGAGGGTTTTAGGACCTCACAGCAGAGGCCCTTGAGGGTAGGACAGGACACAGGCTCAGGGAAGAGAAGAAGATGGTGAGTGGGTCAGAGATAGGGGAGAGGGCAGGCCAGCAGAAAGCCAGGCATGGGAGTTGGGGGGTGCAAGGTGGTGCTGGTGGACCCAACAATCACAACACCCTGCCAGGGAGAAGCAGGAAGCACAGGGAGGCATTTGAAGGCTCCGAGGCTGGGTTCTGCACTCTTCAGTGAGCTGGCATCTCTGGCTGCCACATTGCAGAGTTGCTCTGGGAAGGCAGTTTCTGTCTTGCTGAAAGACTCATCTTCCCACAACACCCCTAACTTCCCTTAGCTCTTCCAGAAGCCCAAGTGAGATCAGGGCTGCACCATGGGGGTGAAGGCCAGCTCTTCTCCACCTCAAAGAAGGGACCAACCCTGCAAAAGACGCTGCTCACCTTAGGGAAACCCATCACAAGGAATATCGGGCATCAAGAGCGAAGTCAAGGCAGGGAGTGCTGTGCTTGCCTGGTGTCTGACATTGTTCTTACTGAATGCATATCTTAGAAGGTCAGAGCCTCTCCAGGTTCTGGGGAGCCCAGGTTTACCCATTAGCTAGGGGACAGCAAGGGTGGAAATAGTATTCCCAAGACTCAGGAATAAGAGTGGGGAGAAAGGGTAGAGCCAGAACACACTCTGCCTCCCAGAATTCACTGCAGGAGAGGGGCCAGGAATCTAGGCCAGTGGACGGTGGAATGAAGGAGAGGCCTATAGCAGGTGCCCAAACAGGTCTTGCTGGACTTACTGGAACCACCCTCAGCACACAAACTTCTCTTGGCTGCAGCAAATAGAGGTGCCATATGCCTTAGAGTCTGTGGTCAGCATCATGGGGAGATCAAAGTCCCCTTTATGCCCAGCATGTAGCAACCAAGCCAAAGATGGATCTTTGGCTTGGTTGCTACACGCCAACTCCTCACTCAGTAGATGGAGAAACCACCCCTGAGAGATCACATTCATGCCTCAAATTTTCCCAGTCAGTGGACCTTGGAGCAAAGGTTTGACTACCAGCTTGGGGCCTGGGATTCCTCACCCTCCTACCTCTCTCCCTTTGAAGCTCATCTGTGCCCTAAACAACCAGGTTCTAAGAAGTCTACTCACAACCTGACAGCCTGGAGCTGTCCTGCCCATCTCCCTCCTCAGACACAGCTTGCTTAGCATTACGGGCCAGCTCAGCATAGGATGTAGCTTTACCCAGTTTTATTCAAGCAGACACCACCTTTGTTATTAACCAGAGAGCATACCGCGGATGCATCAGCAAATTGTCAGGAATACTAAGAGGGAGACATCATCATATTTAAGGGTCCAGACTGCAGAGACTGACCTCCTGGATTCAAACCCAGGATCTCACACAAGCTGTGACTTCTTGGGCAAGTTTCTTAACCTGTCTGCTTCTTTTCTCATCTATAAAGTGGAGATGATATTAATATTTACCTCTTAGGGTGGTTGTAAAGATTACATGAATAAAGCCTTTAGAATTTGTGCTTGGCACATCACGCCTTCTAAGCCTTCTAAGTGTTAGCTGTCCCCTGGCATCCCCTGGGCCTGGCCTGGGAGCATCCTATTTTGAAGATACCCCCTATGTTGCACTGTAAGGTGATAACATCCCTTTTTGCTCCATGCCTGTGATTATATCAACCTGCACTCTGATGGTGGGTTACCAGGGAGGTAGCTGGAGAAACCAGGCCTGTCTGCTTGCAACATCTTTCTCTCTCTGGCTTGGTCTCTTCCATTGGTTGTGAAATGGTAGGTGGATCTCTGGAGATGAGGCCCAGAAGATGGGGAGGATCAATGACTGCCAGCTGGTCTGATCCCTCTCAGAGACCAGCAAGGACTTCGACATCCCCACCCAGAGTGTACTGGCAGAAGGGGACCTGGACCACCACTTTCCCTTTAACACCTGTTTGGTACCAGGTAGGTTTGGGTGCTGCTGTGATTTGCCTGGAGCGAGGCAGGGAGCCCCTCAGGTAGCTCCTTCATTTTCTTCTATGGCCAAGGCAAGCCCCATCTTGAACTCTTTATTCCTATGAAGAATCCCTTCACCTTTCTCTCTTTTGGAAACAATTAATAAGCCCCCAGGGCTCTCTCTCCCTATGAGACTCAGCTCCTCTGACAATGTGAGAAGCAGTTCTGGCCTGAGGCTTTCAGCAGAGGGTGTTCAGGTGGCCTCGGAATTGGCACTCCCAGAAGTCAAGCACAGAGGGGAGGAACCTGGACACCCTCCCCCTCCCCCAACACACACACATCCACACGGCGGGTATTGTTTTACTTGTCTGAACGCTGTCTGATAAACCACCATCCTCTTCAACATTTCCTGTGGCTGCCAGGAAAAAAGAAAAGGTTCCACACTGGACATTATCAGTTGGTGTCGTCTGCCCTCTGGTGCCCAACCCTAGTGTCTCCCTCTCCAAAGACACAGGCTGATTAATGTTAGAAGCCTGCTTAGTGCCCCATATGAATGCAGTTCTACCCAAGCAGACACCACAGTCTTGAGAACTATCAGCCAGCATACCGTCACAGGAGCTTGACCTTTGCTCTTTGAGAAGCTGACAGGACAGCTACAGCTCAAAATAAATATCTGAGCTTGTGCCCTGACATTTGGATAGGGTTTCCTTGAAAGGGAAATAAAATTTCTAGCAGGGCTTTCTTCCCTGTGGGTGGGAAACCAGTCAGGGGCTGGGCATCCCAGGAAAATGCACACATGAATCCCAGCTCCCTCAGTCACCAGTGGCTGTGGATGGCAGACCTTCTCCACCTCTCAGGGCCACAGCTCAAATGCTCAGCCCTCATGAGGGGAGGTGACAAGATAAATAGGGTAAGGGGTCTGCTGTGGCCAGTCCCCCATGTGAGGCTGCTCACATGCCCAGGAAATGGCAACTGGAATTTCTGCAGGTTTTGGAATGATGGCAACGTAGGGGATAGCTTGGGCTTTGGCGTCCAAAGACTTACATTGAGTCTTAGTAATACGTTGGGCAATTGACTTAATATCTCAAAGCCTCAGCTTCCTCAAATGTTCACTTGCTGTTGTTAATTGCTGCTGAGTAGATTCTCTACTCAAGGAGCTCTGTTAACATATTGGTTACGAATTGGGCTGTAAACCGCAAAGGTAAGCAGTTCGAAACTACCAGCTGTTCTGCAGGAGAAAGATGAGGCGTTCTCCTCCTGTAAAGATTTACAGCCTTGGAAACCCTGTACAGGATCGTTATGAGTCGGAACCAACTCCACGGCACATAACCACCAACCACCAGATCCCTACTCAGGGTGCTCCCAGGTGTTACAAAGTAGAACTACTCCATAGGGTGTTCTTGGTTATAATCTTAGTGGAAGCAGAGCACCAGGTCTTTCCTTCCATGTATCTCTGGATGGATTCAGACTGGTAACTTTAGGTTAGCAGTCAAGCACAACCCCTTTGTGCCACCTAAAAAAAACTCATTGTCATCTGGTCGATTCTAAATCATAGCATAGTGATGCCATAGGACAGAGGAGAACATCTAGGCTCCTTTAAATGTTAACTAGGGAAAACAATAGTATCATGTCCCTGGGTAAGACAGGGTAACTAAAGCTTATTTATGAGGATCAAATGAGAGTGTGCAGAACCTGGTGCCTGATAGGATCTTAAAAAGTTCTCACCATTCTTTTTTTTTTTTTTTAGATGAACTTCCAGGTCATTTGATCAACTGGGGAACAGGAGTTCCAATGGTCATGTCAACACCCACTTATACCCATGTGAGCTCATCTATTGGTCAATAAGAACGTTAGAGTCTGATCTCAGTTGGTGTCCCACTTCACTTTCCTTGTCTGCTCCTCTGGAAATGCCCTGGAGGGGACCCCAAGGGCTTACCAGGACCTCGGATTTCACAGCTGGTCTGTAGATGAAGTTGGCTTCTTGGTGGACCATGACAGGTTTGGAGATGGTGGACACTCCAGGGCCTCGTGGGGGTTGTGGGCTTGGGCAAAATGGCTACAGGGGTTAGTTTAAGAGAGTCCCATATGAGGTCATGGTGGAGGTGGCCCAGGCCAGTCATGGTACTTCCATATACATGCAAATTCACACCATGCACATGCTGAGCCAGCCTGGTCCATTCTCCTTGTCAGTCCTGAAAGGTATGATCTTCGGCAAAGAGATGAGAAGTCCATTGGCCATGGTATGGTAAGAGGCCACAAACACTACTGAATGATTCTAAGCATCAGGCACTTGGGCCAAAGCCTGGCTAGTGGGGCATCTGTAGCCAGTGTTGCTCAGAATCCTCTTGAAAGGTTCTCTTAGTGGCCATGGGTGCCATCCAGCCTCCCCTTCTATGTCCTCTGACCATGGTTTCAGGTCCCAGACTGCAGCAGCAAACATCTGCTGGTCCTGGTGGCTGGACACAAAGTCTCTACAAGTCATGGTGCAAGAACCAGTAATAGTGGTACCTAGGAGAGTTGATGCAACTATCTGCAGTTCTTGCCTTGCCATCTTTATGTTCTCTGCACCTGCCTTCCCTTTATCCTCCAAGTCTCATCTTTCCAAGGCTCAACTCATAAGTCCTCGAATCTACAGAAGTGTCTTCAGCTCTCACTAGGATGAATCCCTCCCACAGCCCACAGTCTAAGCCTACTTTATAGCTGAATCCTGCCAAGTCTTCCTTCAGGTGGAATGTCATTGGACCCAAAGGTATGTCAATCTGCTCTATATCCTCGTCAGCACTGCTCTTCTCTACCTCACATGGAAAGATACAAGGTAAGTGTGAAATCAGTGACTGTAGAGTTGAATTTGTCCAGGAAAAGTTGCTGCTTATCTTGATGGAGACCCATCACAGGAAAAGGCTCTTTGTGGCAGACTAAGTCTTCCCTGCAAACTGGTCCCTGGCTGAGCTCTAGGGGAAGACATCCCTAGTATAGTCTCCCTGTTGGATTGCTGGAACTGCAGAGCTCACAACTCCACCACAAATCCAGAG